ATGGTGACCAGGGTGAGGAGTTTAACCTCTTCAACGGTGACCTGTCCACAAAGGAGGTGGTGGAGAAGTACTACGTAAGTAGCATGAGAAACTCTTTTTTCATTTTAAAACATTTTTAACTCTTTCTTTTTCTCATCATCAACCTGCAGAGCAAATTCTCCTTCAAGAACGTCACGCCTGAAAGTGTCAGCCAGCTGATGAACTCCGTCCGCGACATTATCACCCACTGCCTGAACAACTCCACCACCAATGGGAACCGAAACTCCACCGTCCAGAAGGGCTTCACCAGTCTGTCTGACTCGAGCGACGAGGAGATCCTCGCCATGACCGGCCACGTCCCGCCCTCTGAGGAGGACCTCGAAGAGGATGATGGTGAAAATGGACTGACCCGTCGCCGACGCTCCAGCGGCAGTGACTCCCAGTGTCAGGTGGACTCGGGTCGGTCGTTGCCTCGAAGCTTCGACTGGCGTGACCAGGATAAGGTAAGGGCAACTCTTTTGAAACTTTTGCAACGAGACTTTGACGCCAAATCTTTTCTTCTAAAGGTGACCAGCGTAAAGAATCAAGGCAGCTGTGGATCTTGCTGGTAAGAGAAAACTTCTTCTGATTTCGTTTTGTTCTAAAATCCTAACTTTCCAACTTTTTCTTTCTGCAGGACCTTCGCCTCGATGGGCGCCATGGAGTCGGCCATTCTGATCAAGAACAACCAGAAGGCCTCCAGCAACAACATCGACCTTTCAGAGCAGCTGCTAGTGAACTGCGGCAAGCAGCAGGCCGGCTACCGGGGCGGCGGCTGCCAGGGCGGCAACTCCCAGATCGCCTTCAGCTTCGTCCAGAAGGACTTCACCACCTCGGAGTCGGTCAGGCCGTACCAGGCGAAGGACGAGACCTGCGAGATGAACTCCGTCCGCTCTGACCGGCGCAGCATCAGCGACTACTGCGTCCGCAGCAAGTTCCGCTACAGCTACTCGAGCCGGGCGGAGCAACTGTCCGATGACACGATGATGCGGGCGCTGGTGCAGAAGGGCCCCCTCTACATTGCCATCAACGCCAATCCGCTGCAGTACCGAAACCTCCGCTCGGGAGTTCTCAATGAGCCGGGCTGCTCCACGCAGACCAACCACGCCGTCCTCCTGGTCGGCTACGATGGCTCAGACAACAGCTGGATCATCAAGAACAGCTGGGGACCTTGTAAGTGAAAGAAAAGTGGAGGAAAAGTTTTAGCTGGAAAATGTTTTAAAATGTTTTCTCCTTTTTTGTTTTTTGTAGACTGGGGCGACCGAGGCTACTTCAAGATGGCCCGCGGCTCAAACATGTGCGGCGTGAACACCGAAATTGCCTGGCCAATTTTGTAAACGGAAAAAAAGTTTTGTACTTTAGATGGCTTATTTGAACTGTGAANTGCGGCGTGAACACCGAAATTGCCTGGCCAATTTTGTAAACGGAAAAAAAGTTTTGTACTTTAGATGGCTTTTTTGAACTGTGAATTTTTTTAGCTTACTTTTTATTAAATAATAAAACTTGAACTATAGTTTTTTACCTAAAAACAAACATTTGTGTTTAGTAGTATGCCTTCATCGGGAAAGCGTTCCCGTCGACGCTGTTGGCCATGGCAGCGGGAGTTTTCTCCAGGCCGCCACTTCGACTTCCGCTCAGGCTCTTCAGGCTCTTCTGGCGGACCGGTTTCGTCGACTGCCAACAGCTGAGGGCAAAGATGAGGTGCTCCGTGAGGTCCTTGCGAAAACTGGCCGACCTGGAGCCGTCATTACTTCCACCACCACCACCTCCATTTGAAGACACTTTTTTCCGGATGAGAAACTCCAAAAAGACGAGCATGACGGCAAAAAGCGTACCGACGACCAAAACGAGAAAAACACCACCGAGGTTCTTTAGCGTCAGCTCGGTGGTGGCAGGGGCCGGTTTTGCTATACACTGGAAAACAAAGAGTTGTTTAAAAGATAGTTAGCCGATTTTTACTCCACTTCACAGCTTTGGACTTTACCATTCCGCCGCCCTTCTGCTTCCACCACTTCTCCTTCAG